GTTGGGAGCTCCCAAGCGCTCCACAAATTTGTGGAGCGCTTGGGAGCTCGGAAGCTCCCCAAAGCCAGGTCAGCACCGCAAGCGCTTAGGAGAGGGGCTTGGGAGGGGATAGGAGCTTGTTGGAGGGGGGCTGCCAACATCCACGGCCACGTCAGCCTTGAGAGCCTCCTTCAGAGTTTGCTGTCCTTGCTCTTAGCATTGTTATTATGCACGATTTTTTAACGAGCACCAAAGCATAGGAATATCTAAAAGCCGTTCAACTTGGAAAGATATTCGGTTTGCTAATTAAATATGCAAAGGCGCTTCCTTGCAAAACCAACGATTTTAAATACTCCCTAACGTGCAGGCAACCCGAGAAAAGAAAGCTGAAAGCATGGGCGGTGGGTATCGGGTCCTCCGCCAGGTCTGCTTCTCCTCCGCTGCCCAACGCAGTGACGGGACACGGCGATGCCGTTATTTGTCGCGTGGAGCCGTACTCGAAGATCTTGTACGATTTCGTGGTGACAATAACGAAGTGGTCTGGCGGTAGCAACTGCGCTATTGTCACCGACAGGTGAGCTGACGTCGGGAGATTTGTTTATTGTCGCGGACAGAGGGAAGAGGAATTGTCAATGGATGTTTAAGTTGTCGGATTCTTTTTTTCGGGAGTAAAATAGATTGTAGATCTGCTGTCTGGTATGGCACAGCTTCGTATTTTGGAAGATGGACAATTTATTTACAATAAGGGGCCGTTTGGTTGGTTTCCTAAAAAAACAAGAAAAAAAAATCGGTTCAAGGAAATTAATAAAATAATGTTTTTATTCATTTTCATTCCTAAAACTCACTCACAAAATTCAATAAAATAATATTTTTATCCTCTAACTCATCTCATTTCATCTCATTTCTTACATTTAAAAATAAACCAAACACAAGAAATGTGTCACATCATCCAACTTATCATATCTCATTTTAAAAATCACACACATCATTAAATAATATTGTGACAACTCATCTCATCTCATTAAACCTTCCTTTCCATCCATTTCCTCAAAAAAAATAAGAAATTGATTTCCTTAAGTATGTGTCACATCATCTTATAATATACCTCCAACTCATCTCATCTCATCTATTTTCTTATTTTTAAAAATGAACCAAACACAAACAAAATATACCTCCAACTCATCTCATCTCATCTATTTTCTTATTTTTAAAAATGAACCAAACACAAACAACCACAAAACATCATCCAATAATATACCTCCAATTCATTTCCTTATTTTTTTTAACCAACCAAACAACCTTAAAACAAGTTTTTTTTTAAAATCACCCACATCATCCAATAATAAAGTGACAACTCAACTCATCTCATCTCCTATTCTATAGTTTTCTTCTTTTTTAAGCGAACCAAACAACCTCGAAACAATTATTATAGGAAATAGGTTTCCTATTCTTTGATTTCCCAATTTTTTTCCGAAACAAATAGCCCCTAATTTCTATATCTATTCTTTTATACAAATGGGAGAAACAAAGAGTCACTGTTCGTGCTACAGTAAATGCTGTTGGCCTTCTTGTTTTGATGATGATTTACAAATAATTTACTACTAATGTTGTTTGTCTAGTGCTTGTATTATCTATTCATTGTAGACAAACAACGTAGTTGGAGGATGGATGGAATAGAGCTTCAACGATCATATCCAAAGGAGGTTGGCGGAATGTCGGTGAAGCCTTGCTATTCAAAGTTAAAGATCAAGTTCAAGCTTCATCCGCATGTGTACCAAGTTGAGCTACAATGAAGATCAAGATCAAGCTTGGGTAATCTAGTTTAGATTTTATATTATGTGTGTTAAGTACCTTAAGCTCAATATCATATACACACACGTATTTGGTTTCTATGTATATATATAGTTATATATATACATGCATGGTTTTGAGTTTCATGCTTTGGACACACTTGCAAAATACATGAGTTTTCACAAATGGAAATTCAATTTGAGAAATTCTTTTTCTAACATGTTTGTTTTCATGTTTACAAACATTTCGCAAAGTTTCATCAAGTTTAGAATTGATTTGTTATGTTTAATGGAATTTACAAAATCATGTTTTTGTTCGTGCACATGTTCGTGCATGTTTTACAAAACAGATGAGTTTTTGCAAATGGGAAGTGATATTTGAAATATTCTTTCTCTGAAAAGTTTATCTACATGTTTAGAAACTTCCCTCAAAATTTTACTATTTTTGGAGTTGATTTACTGTGCCTAATTGATTTTACAAAATCGTATATGTTAACAGTTTTTCAGAAACTGTAAATTTGTGTTCAAATATTTATTTCTCTCAACTGGGAAAATATTTTTCAGAAA